AAAAAAAAAAAAAAAAGAAAAATGTCATCGCTGTAAAAGTGACGAGAGTTTGAAGAGTTCCATCGACACGCTGCCGTATGATTGATAACACGTACGATCGTCACGTACCTACGATATTTGATAAAATTTGAATACGTATAGTAAAAATGTATGGTAATTTTTGTTAAGTTGCGAGAGCTTGCCAGTGGAACGAGATTATTATAACGATTGATCGGAGTATGCGTTCCCTTTCTGACATCGCCGATAATTCAGAACGCGTGAGCGACGTGCCCCTCGGGGAAATGGATGCGAGCGACGCGACGCCAGCCCGGCGAATGAAACGCGTCAGAGTAGCCGGGACTGGGAAACAATAGCGAGAACTAATTCTGCGGTCCGTCGACTCCAGTAACTTCTATCGCGGTTGCATTTATACTCGGAGTCACCCGCGGGCGAGCGGCAGGTTACGAGTAAACTAGAAACATCGGCTACGAAATTCATAGGGTGGAAATGAATTTCCCAGTTTCGACGTGAATAAGCCGCGGTGCCTTTGTCAGCGTGCACGGTTATCGTTCGTTTTGAATATCGCTTGCCACCGATAACGGAAAGATACGATTTCCTATAGCGCTTGTTTAGCCTCCAACAAAGCTTGTTTCCTGTTACAGCAGGTTAATTAACACTTTGAAATAAAACGTTTCAAATTCAGTCCCGGAAAGATGAGATTTCCTGTAAAGCTTTCTTTAGATACACTGTCAGAAGATTATCTGCTCCTATAAGTATTCTAGAGTAATTAGAGCGAAATAAATGTCGTCGACAATATCAATTTTGGTAATATACGCAACTAGACGATTTCGCTGTACTTTTCTTACAGCCTGATATTTTGTGAGAATTAAATATTCTTACCATGTTTCTTACTTTTAACATTCAGTCGTAGATGATAAAACTGGTATTATACACAATTATCGAGATGTACCTACGTATAGACAAATATCAATTTTAAACTTTCCCTAATCCTCCTCGAAAAAACGTAAATATGTATGAATATCCGCAGTATAATTATTAATAGGTTAATCCTTCACACATGTTTTCTCGTAATCTCGAAACAGAATATTCATTTTTATTCGCTATAACATAAATCCAATAATAAATTCAACAATGAATATTCAGCAGATAAAAATAAATATTCCGTCAACGACAGTGTGCAGTATTATTACGCTCTGAAATTAATATGAATCTGTCTATGTAAATTCAAAGAGTACATATTTGCCTAAACGCATAGTAGATTACGAGAACCGTTTAAGACCTTTTTATCTTGTTTGTCACTTTGTCTTTCCACTGTCGTCTCGCGTAGACGACCGAAGTAAAGTATCTGATGATGCATCGAGCTGGTAATTGCAGGGTGCATCGAGCCGCGCAGCGTCTGATCATGTTGCACCGTTGAAACGACAACGAAGGGTCGAGGTGAAGTTGCAAGGCAGGCAAGACGAACCTCGCTAATGACATGATCATTCGTTAAACGATCAACTCCGTTCCACCCTTGTTGCGTTTCGCACTGCAAGCAAATTCAACGACCCGACCGTTGATTAATACTTCGTGTTTCTTTCTGTTTCTTGCCCCCCTTTTTTTCCTCTCTCTCTCTTTCCTTTTTGTGCGAGACGTAACTGGCGTAAACACCGTACACGCGCGGCTTAATGAAAACACGCGCTGCTTAATGAAAAGAACCGACCGGTGGGAGGAAGTTAATGAAGCGCCTGCTGGTTTTCTGGGGTTTTAGGTGACGATGGAGGATAATAAAAATCGCAGGTACCAAGATAACGGTTGCTCGTTCGTCGTGGAAGTGCAGCCAAGCTATCAGAACGAGGAACCCGAGGCTAGCAAAGGGTCCACCGACGACGTGACAGCCGGGGTTACTGATCAGCAGGCTCTCGTTCACAGGGAGGAAATTCCGGAGGATAGAGCACCAGGTTTGTTGCTGTTTCTGATGAAACAATTTCTCTTGTCGCGCGCGATGAAAAATTCTATGGAAGTTCAATATAGTTTAATTAGTTAAATTAAATTTCGTGTCATTTTGTACGACTATAAAAATTTAATGCTATCAGGATGAAATGATTGTCGGTTTTTACGCATTTAACCCGCCATCGAGGATCAGTGACGTGTTAACGCAATATCTCATCTCTTCGATCAATTTATTTTAATAGTTTCATTCAATTTGCGTTATCGAGTTGTATCTTTTTTTTTTTTTAATATTGGGACTGTGTGAAAGGAAGTTTCATATTGAAGATAATTCGTTTAATATTTGTCATTACACCTTCTCCTTAGATTTAAAAGAAATTAAAGTAGTTTACATAATTTATCGTTAGTCTATTGCAGGTTACAGACACGAAACTGCACAGAGTACGTATACAGTACTCTAAAATAAAACTATACAATAAAATAACAAAAAAAAAAAAAAAAAAAGAAAAATCGTTGGAAGTCTACTAATGCTGGAAACAAAACGTAAAATTTGACAAAAAAGAAAAAAAAAATGCTTCGTATCCATATGTTGCAGAAATAGAATGTTTGTCTGTTTTTTTAAATAAGCGTACTCGTGTGATCCAGGTTTCGAGAACACAAGACTATTCGGTAGCACGAACACGGGGCTGTCGCAGTCGGATCTCTCGATCTCCAGCCAGGGCTCGGTTAATCCCAGCTATCGTTATGGAAATCAAGTGGAATACGATGCGGGCCATCTGGGTTACCCGATGTACGGCGGTAGCTACGAATCCGATACGTTGTCACGCAAACTCGAGGGTGGCTCGAAATGGGTGGAATTCGACAAATCACCAGACACCGAGAAAACCTTGCTGAATGTGTCAAAAACGTCAAGCATGGAGAAAGACGCCGAGGAAAGCGTAAGTGAACTGAATAGGGTAACTGTTCGTATTAGCGTGCCTGTCCCTATTTCTCTGTTTTCATGTTAAAACGAACTGTACAAAAGAACTTGTAGGAGCGAGAGAAGAATAAGTATGTTTCTCAACGAAGTTCAAAATAGATTACATGAACTACTTTGGAATTATAATAAATTATGGAGAACTTGTAAAATAAGTTACAAAGGACTTGTAAAAATAAGGAGAACAAATACTTTTCTAGCAAAGTTTAATAAGTGTTTTATCTTTAATATCTTTAGGAAGAATTCCAATGACATTACAACATAAATTACACAAAAAAAACTTCTTTGAAAGAAATTCCAATATTGAAAATAAAATAAAGGAAAGATCTGTTTTTCAAAAAAAATTTGACAATTTAAATTTCGAGCACACTAATACGGACAGAGCCACTTCGACATTTAATCAGAGACATCGGGAGATCATGATAGAAAATCGTGTTTCTCCGTTTCCAGCCGTCGATGATGAGCAAACAGAACAATCTGGACGTGTCCCAAGGTTCTGGGGGATCCATGGATCAGCAGGACTCGACAGACGCCAGCATCTCCACCGACACGGTTCGCTCGAACCCTAATCTTCAGGTGAACGGAGCCACGCCGAACAAGCTCGAGATCATGGAGCAAAAGGCGCTCAACTACGACTTCGGCAAATCGGAGACGAACAAGCCGGTGATAACTGGAGCGTTGTTGAAGGACGACGTGCAGGAGGACACGTTTCAGGAACAGCAACGGAAGTTGGGCAATGGCACTTTGACGCCGGAGCACAAGGAGGAGAGAGCGAAGACTCAGAAGCCGGAGAGTTGCACGTTTGTGCCGAGCCACAAACGGAGCGGAAGCATCCCGCCGCGATTGATCGAGGAAACGCTGGAGCTAGATCTGGAACCAAAGAAATCGTTGGATATCTACAGTCAGATTAAAACCAGCACTAAAAGCATACTCCCGGGACTGAGCCCGAAGTTCGAGCTCCTTCAGAACGAAGTTAGCCCGATCGAGGAGAAGGAGAGTTAATGGGGATGGTTGGTTTCACTCAATGGCGTCTCAATGGTAAACCGAAGTCGTCAAAGGGCATCATCATCGATCGGACATCGAACGAGCATCGACGAGCATTCAAGTTCGTCCACGTTGTAACGATTTTCTACGAGAATTCGAAAGAGCATTCGCACAGAGCCAAATCAAAACGAGCGATGGCCACGGGTGGCAGCGAATCTGACGACGCGCTTCCACCCTCGTGGAGAACACGATTTTTATTTAACGAAAAGTCCAAACTCTCATTGTAGATATCTCATCAACGCTGAAACTCACTAAGACGACGTCTGGAGATTTTATCCGAGGTTTTTGCGAAGAGAAAAGGTAGACCAGATCGTTGTAACAGATCGCTGTGTAGCTCGAAGAACTCTCGGCAGTGCAAAAAAANAAAAAAAAAAAAAAAAAAAAAAAAAAGAAAAAAAAAAGAAAAGAAAAGAAAGAAAACAAAAACAGAGGATCGACCAGAGAAAGAGCGATAAAAAGACGCGACGCGCGAGTGTTTGCCTATGATAAAATCATCGAGGGGGAAAATCACGGGGCGACGGATCGATGCGAGTGGAGACACTGGTGGAAGTTGATAAAGTGACCAGAGCAAATTGGTCGTATCCAAGGGAAACGGTGTTTCATAGGTTGCTGCCGGCAGAGACGCTTGGAATTGACAATGTATCCTAATGACTCTCTGCCAGTTCTCCCTTAACTCATCCACCCACCCAATGTTCCTCTCTCTGTCTCACAATCTCTATCTCCCTTGCGCGTTTCCCTTCTACGATCATTCGTCCCTGTTCCGTCGATGTTCGTGCCCTCGCGCCCCACGAAACCTGTGCCCGCTAAATTTACCAAAGCGAGGATCTACGAACCGCGGAGAACAATCGTCGACTAACGAATTCGACGCGCCGTTGCGGATTCCGCGTCCGTGGCTCTGTGTGCGCAGCGACCGCAACCGCATCGGGGAATAGAGCACCGTAGTTGCCGGCGACGCGCACTCCAAACGATCGTCCGCTCGTCGCGTTACGCGGTCGCGAAACGCGCGGTGCTGGTTGTTGGGATTGTCTTTCCAAGAGGGGTTCTTCTGTAGCATGCGTCTGGGATGAGAGGAGGCAGAGGAGATGTGCAAATCGTTGGAAAGGGGGTAATCGTGTTTAGAAATTGCAAGGTGAAATTGCAGGACTGTGCAGTCGAACGCTCGAGACACTCGAGACATTCGAATATGTCGGATGTTCGAATGTTCGCATGTTCATTCGAGTGTTTCAATTCACCTGGGATATTCCGATAAAATATTCCAAATTTCTAGGACATTTGAATATATCGACGTGTAGAAGTCTCGAATAATTTAGATGGTTAGAAGTTTCGTATATTTCAGTATTGAAAATATTGTTGTAACATTCTAAATTCCGAGGACATTCGAGTATTTGTAGAATACTTGGAGAGTTGCAGTTTCGGTATTTTTATTTGCTGGGTAATTGTCAGAAAACCGTCCTGGGTGGCAGTGATTTAGCAAATGCGCGTTAGTTCCTCCCGTTTCCTTGTCCGACCACGCACGGCCGTCTCCCCTTTGGAACATCGCCGCGCGATTTCCAGAGACGAAGAGGGAAACTCTGAAAGTTTACTTGCCGATCTAACTTGGAGAGGATCTTCGAGCGAGTTCGAATGATGTTCGAACCTGTACGTACGCACTCGAGAGGAGGAGAACCGTATCGACGAATTTTGTAAATGATTCCAAGAATCATAGCGACTGGGTTCCGTTCGGCTAAAACCAGTTTTACAAACGAACCACCATTTGCTAAGAATTTTCTATTGTCCGTGAACATAAGTACGAAAAAAATAGCAGATAATTAAGCATCGTAAATGGAACGTTATTAAGTGTCCAGAATGATAGAATTTAAGGCTTCGAGCGTCGTCTGCGATTTTCGATCGAGCAACCTGTCTGCGAATTCTCCGATGGCATTTTTAACCTTGTTTCGTTCTTTGTTTCACCTTGTCGTTGAAATTTTAGGAGTACGATCGATTTATCTTTATCTCGAAATAATTTGCGACTCTTCAGTTCGTTGTTAACTCGTATTTACGAAAGTATTATAAATTAAATTTTTATCAGCTTCGAAACAGATTCAGAAGATGATAGGTAGGTCAGATCACCATTGGGTTATTAATATAAATGGACGTAAAAATGGAAAGTACTTGAAACTAATTCACCAAGGACCAACAACAAATACTTCAATTTCTCTGAATTTTATAAAACTATAGGGATCCTTTAACAAACTTTGCAACGCAGCGTTAAACCACAATGAAACGTTGACAGAGAATTTCTAGGCGCTGAGAGTCGGTTTCGAATCTCGAGGACAACGCTCGTTTTAGTAGATCACGTACACCAGAAGCAGTAAGATCTCGATCTAAGATTTCACTTGGAAATTAATCAGAACCAGTAAATCGATCCTAGGTATGCTGTATCCGTAAAAAAGAAAAAAAAAAAAGAAAGAAAAAAAAGAAAAAAAAAACATGAAACCACACTCACGTTATAATGACGAGGTTCGCGACTCGAGCAAGTCGAACAGAGGCTTAAGATTAACGTTACGTGGATTCTAGTGCCAAAATAGTTCCTTAAGGTTTCTCGACGATGAACGACGTATGCCGTACGACTATACTCGACGATCTTATTATTAATTGTAAACGTTTCGAGCAGATGCCGCGTTACCAATATTTCAGATTTTATACGCTTCCGTTGACATAGTGCGAACGTTGTTGTTGACATGGTGCTATATTGCGTATGGATCTACGGGAACGAGGGTGTACGTGGCTGACCGATTGCCAGTTTCGATCGTTCCGGCTGCCTCCACGTCCTCGTTTCTTCGTTCGTCGCGCCTCATTGGCACTTCCGGTGAGAATCGACGTCCTCCGAACTGTACTACGAAAGTGAGAATTTTCGTCATCTTCCAGGAATACTGTTTAATCCCCGTACTGGGTCCATCCGAATCCACGACATATTGAAAGTTAATATGATGAAATTATATTGAATATAATTTGACGATCATACTTGTTGAATATTTTTGTCCCTCTGTCAATGGATTATACTTTGTGTTAGTGAAAACCTGTTTGTTAAATATTTTTGTTGTCTCTTCTGTGGGTTATTTTCATTCCTCTATCGTATTACGTGCTCTTCTACATAATCTTTATATCTTTTTTATCTTTTCTATTATTATTGCGTAATCACTAGAGAAAGACAAATATAATTACAGTGTATAAATATAATATAATATAAGACTTGTTGGTCTTCATTCACGAAGTATTGTACATGTTTCATGAATTCTGTAAATATTGAAAACGTGTTTACTCATACGAACGGATACGAATGGACCCAGCATTTAAGCCAAGTTTGATCCAAAGAAAGCTCGACCAATTGCGACAACGTCGATACAACTATACGACAATTGATATGATCGATCGCACAGAATTCGTATCTCTTTCACAGGTGATTAAAAAAAAAAAAAAAAGAAGAAGAAAGTCATAAATTCAGGACTCGCGAATGGTATTACTTGGAAATGACAGAACTCTGCATCTTAACACAGTTGAAACGATTATCGAGCACGAGCCGATAAATTTACAACTACCACGAGTAACACTGTCATTGAAAACGTATTCACCGGTCCACGTAAGATAATAGAGTGTAGCCCGTATCTAGCGATTAAGTAAACCATAAACGTTAAGAATTTAGTCATACTCACTGATACACACGATCCCCTTCGAGACAGAATCGATTATTCGTTTTCACGACTCATACGTAACTTCTTATAAAGCCCGGAGTCTGTCACTTGCTTTTACAACGCTAAACGAAGCATAAAAGTCTAGTTTCCAGGTTTAGTGGTTCTCGTGTGGCTGTTACTAGATGGTATTAGAGGTCTAACTCTGTGGACAAGTATAAATTTTATATAAGACCTGAATGTCTCGCGTATTTCTAGAAATATTCGCAAGCCGCAAAAGTAGATGGATCGATCGACTATGTGGGTCGTCCTCGCGCCGATTTTCAGACGCTCTGAAAATGTGTCTTGTCCATCAAAAAATACTCGCCTCGAGAAAGAGGAACGAAGACGTAGAAGCTTGGAGACCGCTTTGGAGATGGACGCGAGGTCGAGCGAGGGTAAAAACAGCGAGCAAATTTAGATCGCGGCATGGCTGACTGTTCAGTTGACAAGAAGAAAAATGGATAAAATAAATAAAATGAATTCGACGTTATTAGCAGAGACAGTTTATGATTAACTAGGGTTTAGCTAATTAAAAAATTAAAAAATTTTGTCAGTATTATTGAGCAAGTAAAACGAATGCTACGTTACATAGAAAGATAGATGATTGATCAGTTTAGTTGACTATAGAGTCAATTATTTCTTCGTATTATATTGCTTTTAAATTTAAGGGATTTAATTTCTTCTCGTTTACGTCTCAAGTTTTTACTGTGATTTTAAGTCAGTTCAGTTTGATAGAGAACTTCTTCAATTTAGAGAATTGTAGAAACTCATACGTATAATTCCAACAAATTCTCCAAGTTGTGGTTCAACTAGGCTAAATTCTAGTTAATAGAACAGCCTCTGATTTCATCCGATGGTCAATTGAATATTCAGCTGTGCCTCGACTGAAGATTACTTGCTGTCGCATCCACCCTAACGCAACTTTCCAAGAGGGAAAAGGGAAGAAAGTCATTCTCCGTTCTTTGACGTAACGCTCTGCTATTCTATCGCATCGCGCGCATCATCAGTTCGTATAAGGACACCTTAGAGATAATTACATGTAGAGACTCGTCGAAGTAAGACTTAATTAACGATTAAGCGAGACGCGGATCTATTGGGATCCTGGCACACAACCGTTCCATATGATCAATTAAAATTCGAATCGTAGTGATTAAGCGAATGGTGACAGAGAGCAGTCAACTGAAGAAAAAAAAGAAAAAAGAAAAGAAAAAAAAAAAGAAAAGAAAGAAAACTTGGGCTTGGATGAGATTGTGCTTTCGATTCGTGGATTTTTAATTCGTTTTGTCGTTCGCATGAGTTCCCAGTACCGCACCAATCTTCGTTTAGTTCTCTTGCTCCCTCCTTGAAAAGGGGGGGATGGAATGAAACGAAAGTCCGAAAGTAACATTTGTCCATCGTGCTGCATACTCGTACGCTGAAGGCACGTGTGTAAGTGTTTCCGAACGAAGTGTGTGAACATTCATTTTCGCTAAAGTACCACGTTGTATATGTCAATTTATTTTGCAAAATAAACCATTGGACACGAAACCTGAGTCATTGCGAGTTTCCGTGGCACATTGTCCATCGATCGTTCATTTCAGTTCGAATATGTATTTCTGTCGTTTGTTTCTATAAATTTTATCGAAGTCTGGTAACTCTGAAATAATGTCTGAAATAGTACGTTATCAAAATTTGAGATCATCGATTCTTTTTCTTTTCCTACTTAATATTCCTCGTAATAGAATTTTAAAGTCCAAAAATTAAGGACTTGCTACATGGTTATAGCTTCTAGGTTGTTGTAGCTTTTGTCATGTTAGATTGCAAGAGTTTGGAATATTCGATTTTATTTCATTTTTCATCGTCATAAAATTAAATAAAATATAGTTCCTCCCAGTCCTCGTTGATCTATATTTTCTCAATCAATAATTTTCTAAATCAAATTTTTAGCAAGTGTTCTCGTTGACGAACGAGCCTTCCCGTCTTTAATTTCCGTAATAGCGATTAGCTGCAGAAGATAACGCCACGTCGGTAACCAACGACCAGTTAAAATCGATCGTAGCGGGGTGCACACCCCCGAGGAACGCAATGGACCATCGACCAACCTAGTAGCAGCTCTGCAATCGAGGGTTGAACTGTTTTACTCTTTGCTACGCCCAATGGTACGCGCCACCTAGTGATAAAAATGCTCAGGAGGTTGGAATCGCGGGGCTCGACTGATAAACCCGTTTTCCAAGGGGTGGAAAAATGGGTTCGCCGTTTCCATTCGGGACGCGGTGGGAAAACGGAGGCCGCGAGGCTGGCGGCGCCAACCGGCGAATCCAGCGAAACGCGAAATATCACTGAATTATACATGCGCGTTTTTAATTCGGTAATCAATAGTAAAAACCGCTAATATATCCCCACCATTTTTCCGCTATTTAGAATTCACCAATGCCCATCTGCCGACAACCCTTTCCGATCGCGTGTGGGAGGAGCCGCCAAATACTGGTTCTCTATTCTCGCGGTCGATCGTGGGGATTTCGAAGGTTCGACTCGTTCCTTTTTTTGCCTTTTTCTTTTTTTCTTTTCTGCTTCTCTCTTTCTCTCTCTCTCTCTCTCCTTCCCCCTCCCTTTAATGCGTCAAACGAGATAACGAACGAAACGAGGATACGAGAGACGAAAGACCGGTGTACCGTGGCGAAATATAAACGCTCGATAGAGAACATGGTGTATTAATAAAGAGTGGATGAATCGGTGGTAAGCTAAATACGGGCGACTTTTCGTATGAAAATTCGAGAGGAGAGGTGATTCGAAAGTTTGGGAGGATGAAAGAGTGTGAAAAGTCGAAGAGATAGAGATGAGGATAACGCGCAAGCAAAGGCTATTTATTTGATCACAATCGCGATGGTAAACGATTGGTAGGCGAGTTCCCGCGTTGGCGAAAGCCAATAGGAACGGGCGATATGTAAAAGTTCAAAAGGGCAGTGATTCGAGAAGCCAAAAATTGGATATATTCGAAAGAACAACGAATTCGTACGAAATGAATAAATTGATAAACTGAATGAGCAAGGTTTTGGTTTGACGAAACAAGGATAAGAAACGAGCAACGTATGAAAACCATGAAACGGCCAGAAGTTCTAAAATTCGAAGGGAGAAAGATGCTCGAAGGACGACGTACCGACAATGGCCACTTGTTCGACAATTTTTCCAAGGCGAGGCCAATTACCTCGTGAAAGACACGAAGTAAGCGAGTGGCTGGTAGGCAGAGGCACGCACAAACATACGAGCGGTCGACCATAATTACTGTTTATTAAAGACGATTGCAAAAACTCGGGCAGGTGCTCGAAGTAAAAAGAGACAGACAGAGAGAGAGAGAGAAAGAGAAAGAAAGGTGGTTAAACTCTCGAAAGTCTATGGCCGTATCTACAAGAGTTCTCTGACGCACGGTTGGTTTTGTTGTGACCAGGACCAGGGCCCTCACGCTAATTTCTTTGCCCCTTTGCCAATTTCATTCTCGCTGAAGGTGGCATTTCTTATTTCATGCGCGTCAGAGATTTTCAAACTAGACGAAACGTTTCCCTGATCGGATATATTAGGATTTCCTTCGAACATTTATACAAGTTTGTACTTGTTGTTCGCTCTTTTCTGTCTCCCAATTAAATATTTCCTATCTTTTCGTTCATATTGCATTGCAGTTTAGCCTGAAATTAAGAAGACTGTACTGAGAAACCTAATTGACGATATAAGTTTTAGTTGAGGGAATCCAACGGGTCACAGGTGGATGATTTTTGTCTTGGCGAAGTATGTTCCTGTTTTTCTATCCGAAAGCACGAAGTATTTAAAGATCACGCATAGGAAAACATGGACAACATACAAACATAGCTACTCCTTTTCCTCTTGTAAGTAAATGAAATTTCGATCATGGAGGGTTGATCGTTGCTAATTTAACTCTTACAAGTCGTTTGATGTTTCTCAAAGAATGGATGTACGAACATGTAACTGTGAAATTATAGGGAGAAACGCCTATCATTTTCTGGTTCAAGGAACCTCCGAATGTTACAGGTGAACGATTTCTAACGTGGCAAAGACTTTATCGGAACATGTTCCTGTTTTTCCATACACGATCTCGAAATATTGCATAAAAAAAAGAAAGAAAAAAAAATGAAAAGAAGAAGAGAACAAAATTACATTTATTTCGGGGGTGAGAATTTCTTGGGCAAGAGAGTCAAGACGACAGTTTCTGCAGATTGTTTAAATACATTGCACGCATGCAGAAACGGAGAGCCTCGAGAACATCGAGAGGGAGGGAAAACAGCCGGGACGTATGTCCGGTGTGGAAAAATCGGCCCGCTGCTAGCGAGCAACGACTCCGGCGGCGGTGGTGGCCGCTGGGTCCGGCCGACGAACTCGCCACGAACTTTCACACCGACGTCCCACCATCGGCCGAGGCAAACGCAGGGCCGCGAATCGAGCGAAACGGGACTGCCCACCGACGCACGGCAGCCGCGCTCTTGGCCAATTATTTTTACCCGTGGAATCGAATTATCGGGCGCGGCGATTAACGCGGATTTAATCGCACCACTCATGTCGGTCCTTTCGGCCGGCCGGAAGCCGGACAGAGGACGGAGGGTGTTCACCCTGTGGGGTGGTCCGATCGGCAAACGGAACGAAGACGACGAAGGAAACTGGCGCGAGATAGAAAATAGAAGGAAAAACGGGCTGGCCCGTAGGGCGGGCGACGCGTTCATATCTATACGCAGGCAGCGTGGGTGACAAGAGAGCCAGGGCTAAACAGAGGAGAGAGAGAGAGAGAGGTTAAGGGTGAGCGGGACACACACACACACACACACACACACACACACACGCGTAGAGAGCGAGCGAGTGGCGTAGAGAGAAAGAGAGACAGAGTGATAGAGGAGTGAAGAGGAGAGGAGAGAGGACGCAAAGCAGCGCGCGGGCAGAGGTGGGCCATAGAGAACGTCGAGGCAGAAAGAAAGAAAGAGAAAGAAGAGAGGAGCGCGGGGCGACGGAGGGCAGAGAAGGGTGCGCTTGAGCGTCGGTACAGATACGGCATTATGAAAACACGAATGTACTTTTAAATCAATACCACCATCGCATTGTAGGGAGTGCACGCTCTGGTGGGGGCGGCACGCTCGCATCCCGGAATACAGAAGAAGAGAGAGCGAGAGACAAAGAGAGAAAAAGAGAGAGAGAGGGAGAGTGAGGGAGAGTGAGAAAGAGAAAAACGAAGGAGCAAGAGGGAAACAGGAAGGTCGGTGGCGCTGCCGCGGAAATCGGCAGAGGAGCGAGAGGACGGCCGTGATAAAAGGATAGGCAGCAGCGATATTCGAACGAGAGGAAGGTGCGGCGGAAGGTGGCTGCGAGGGGTTGGCCGGAGAGAAGAACGATTCAGCCGGGTGAAAAGTACCGCGAAGAGGAGCACCGGTTACCGCGCTTCTGCTTCTCACTGCCTTCGTAACGAGAACGACGGCGTGCGTTGCACTTGCCGCGAGAATGGCTTTTGACGAGCGCGCGCGATATCCATCCTTGTCGACGCTTTTGCCAACGTCGTCGTTGTCGTCATCGTCGTCGCTTGCCGCGGGACGGTTCGTCGTTAATCGTCGCGTTTGCCCACGAACCGACACCGGGCGTGACACGCACGCGAGGTAGTGTTCGCCTCCTAGTCATTCTCGGTGGAAACAGCACGTGGGATAACGCGACGACGCGATAACGCGTGCCACGGTTTTGCCCAGAAGCGAAAACCGGCGGACAACGGGGTCTCTCGTGAGTTTCAGGATCGCGTTGCGTTGCGTTGCGTTGCGTTGCGTTTGTTCGTTTCTCATCGATCGGCTTTTCCTCGGTTGAAACCGAACGGAATTGGGACGACGAGCGGCAAAACTCGCGGAAATCGATTTAATTCGGTCAGCTGGATTTTGATCGATGCGCGACAGAGAAAGTATCGGGGGGATTATTAAAAAATAGACGGGGCAAAAAATGGGGAATAAAAAACAGAGCGACTGGAAAAAAAAGAGAACGAGAGAGAGGGAGAGAGAGAGTATAAAAAGAGAGAGGAGAGAAAAAAAAAGCGGCGAGCGACGAAGGTTGCTTCCCACGCGCGGTGCACGGTGGTGCACGGGCAAACGCGAACAAATTGGCAGAGAGGAATATTTATTTTCAATAATATCGATGTCGCGATTCTCGATGTACATTTCGTAACCGTTTTAATACATCAGCGACCGGCCAATTTATACGCGACACGAAATTAGAGTTTACGTTAATTATTTTAATTGGTTTTGCTAATTAAGCACGACCATTACGTAGAACCGGACAATGGTCACAAAACGGACATATTATTTGCTAAACACATTATCGTTGTCGATTGGCACGCCGGGGTGATGAGTTCAGTCAGCTGGTAGTCGATCGGCCATCGATCTCTCGTATCTGGATAATTACTCTGATTAGAAACCACCTTACTTCCGTCATTACAGTCGTTGACTTCCTGGCGTATATCGAAAATCGGCGTACATACATACGTCGGGAACGACGGAACTCGTCTGCAACGAATTCAAAGTAA